TGTAGAGCCAACTTTGTTTTACGCACCATTCACCTGAGACCGGTCAACTGTCCTAAGAGGTATGGCGCCACAATTTGAATCCGCAAATTATCTGCTTCAGCGAAATTTCGGAAGTCACCTAAACCGTTAGTTGAAGAGTTCTTTCACATCTTTATATTTCCGTCTTACGCTTTGCTAACTGGGAAAACAGAGTCGCTGCTTTCGAAATATTATCCAACCAATTATTCATATGGACAACGGTAGGGCTTAGAACCCCAACTAACTTGAGGTAGCCCTGTGAATCGTTTTTTTGGTCAGTTTAAGTCAGTTTATTTTAGGGGATGAGGCTTTTGTTCTTGAGCTCCCTATTCATATCGATAAAAAGAAATCGAATCGATTGTTACATCAGTAAACCTGGGAATTCAAAAGTTGACGGTAAGTGTGAGCCAGGCGCAAACTGTCGCCGCTAAAACAATCGCGATTAAATGTACAGTAGTTTCTCAGCAAATGAGCATCTAATCTACACCTAAAGGATTCGACAGTTTCAGGAAGTACCATCGCATCAGGGAGTCCGTTCCATGCCCCAATGACCCTCTGCGGGAAGGCGTTCCGTCGGGCGTCCGAATGAGCCAGCTTCCTCTGCAGTTTGAAGGGTTGACCCCGCAGACGGCCCGTCGCGGCCAATTTGAAGAATTCGTCAAAGTCTAGGACACACTCGCGGCCTCTGACGATCCGGTAGGTTTGAATGAGATCGCCGCGCAGTTACATCTAATTGAGAGGAACGCACATTTAGTTCAGCCAGTCTGATTTCGTAAGGCAGATGGTCAAGATTCTTGACCATCTTCGCAGCCATCGCCTGTACTCTTTCCAGTTTTTGATAATCCTTCTTCAACCACGGTCGTCAGGCCTGGACTGCATACTCTTAGTGTATGCGACAGCCACATAAGATACTAAACTGTACCGATGCCTTTTATTTACTTCTTGACTGAATGCAAATTTACCAGCGGCAGTTAATCCAAAGTCCGTTTATTTTTGAAAATAGCTTTCGTTTATTTTTTTTGATTCTTGCGCTCACTTTTTATCATATGACAGCGAAAAATAAGACCTTCGTCAGCAATTTAATTTTTTTCTGTATTTTCTTGAATTCCGCCTGCTCTTCGTCCCGCTTGCTGCTCCACCCTTAAAGCTCCCTCTATCACAATTCCCGTATGACACGGTCCACAGGCCACCTGAAACTAATGGGGGTCGTACACCCTACCGTTGCCTATCCTCATCGCGGGATCTCATCCTCGGCGCGCTTTCTGTTTCCCTCCCGGTTTCACTAACGGATTCAGTGGCTCCCACTGTGGATATTTTATTTTCCCACACCTAGTCCAATGAGGCTGCGGCGTGTGAGTCTAAAAGGCACAAGAAAACGCAAAACAAGGCGTCCCAGCCAGCCGGTCCAACTCCGCCTTATTTTCCGATATGTACGGTAATCGATGTGTCTTATAAAGCACTGCGATCGATTGGACCAGACAGACTCGACTAGTTGAGTTCTCATCTCTTGTCTAGGTAACTGAAAATAGGAGTCACAAGGCGTGATGTTTCACTGGGATAGGGAATTCGCACTTAACTGTCGCCCTGCCAAGTGCACTTCTTGCACACGTGGCTGTTTGGAAATAAGCCAAATTCCTGAAGTTCAAAAGGGAAGTCACAAAAACAGCCCATAAATCATCCAAGGGACCTGTGCAGAGGGTCAGTGCGTTCTGACAGAGGCCGGGTTTGTTTTCACTGGCCTAGAATGCCAGCCAGCGGATGAAGCAAAACACGAGTTGCTAATTTTAGTAACTTGGAGTGGTCGAAGGCCAGATCCACGACTGCTCCGACAGAGTTTGCAAGAATGCTGAAGAAAATTAAGATGCCTAGTAAAAGACACTGATCAAGTGAAGAGTAGAACTACTCGAAGATGTTTGTGAGTAGGCTTTTCACAAGTACTGATTTTGGCTTAGAAGGACGACCACCAGAACTTTGCCTAAATGAATAATAAGCACATCATCAAGCGCTAAGGAGCACTCTCAACGACAGAAGCAAATTTGTTGTTGGGAAATTGCTTTCATGCAAGAAGACATGCAGTATAGGAAGGCTAGATGATAAATCAAAGTCCCACCAATAGCCGGGAGTCAGAGGTCTGGACTGGGTCGAGATCTTTGACCGAAGTCAAAGCCCCAGATCGGCTCAGCCTATTCAACATCAGAAAGTGCAAAGAAACGATCACACAAACCCTTCTACGCCTGTCTTGAAGTCCTCAGCAGTCACTACTCGGTCATATCTATTAAAAGGCCCGTAGGAAATCTAGGCAAGTCATTCGACCGGAACGGGGGTCGTGTGTACCAGTGAACAAAGTCAGGGAGAGAGAGATTCAGAAAACGAAGATGCGACCAATAAAACAAGGAATTTATTGGCCTGACGTTTCGGATTCTCACTCGAACCCATCATCAGAGATATTCGCAGATAAAGCAAATCGTTTTATTTTGAAATTACATACACAAAAGTTTTTCAAAAATGGGCTCCATTCAATGTAGACAGACAATAATTTTGTAAATTACTCAAGAGTGAAAATATTTACACAAAAGAATTAAATATTATGCGTACAATTCGAGTCTTAGCTTCTGTATTTCTGCGTATTCACACGTAAGATAGCGCGCCAGGAATAGCAATAGTGGACGTTGATATGCTGGTATGCGGCAAGGGATAAGTCGAAAGCCACGACACATGGAGCGGGAAGACTTTGCAGAGATTAAATCAGAATGCAGGGGATGGGCAACGTCATACCGATTTCGACCAGCAAATTGCTTGACCGTTTTGGAATTTCGTTATAGGATAATATCGACTAAAATGGAATAAGAAACACCGGCAGCAGAAGAGAGCATTCGGAGGGCCCTTGTTGAGAAAAAGAGGAAAAATTACGGTGGAGTAATAAAGAATAAGAAGGATGCAAACAAAGTATCTTCGTGGGCACCAAAGCTACTCTTAACTTGGCACTTCTCTCTGGCTTCTCCTCTGAGTAGCCCATATTCTTTATAAAGCAGGTGTTAATCTAATTAGGCGCTGAATTCCTCATTGATCAGGTTTAGAGATATTCACGTCATGTTTCTCCTTGGAGTTCCATTTAGAACCATTGCAGACTGTCACACGCCGACAACTATTCATACAGGAAAGACTAAAAGGGTCGTTTCCAGCTTCCCAAATACATATATTTGCTCCTACCCCCCCCCCCCCCGAAAAGGGGCCGCGCGGTAGATGCGCTGAACCAACACAGAGGTTAGATGGGTGTTTGGCAGGCGTTATCGGGAATGCGCAACCATAACACATCCCAACATTGGGGTGTGGTGACAACCCCAGTTTCCGGTTTATTTCGCGCAAAGTTGAATCTGGACCGCTCCCCTATTTGCGTTTTGGCGTACACTGGAGGGGAGCGTGGTATTACGCCAAAGTGCGGGTGTTCACAGTGCCTCCTCTTTTGCCTCCCATCTTTTCGACTAGGCCTTGACACCATATCCAGCGGGGGGGGGTGGAGAGAGTGCGGCGGATGCTACGCAAGTCTGCTATCACCATAGACTAGTTCACGCGCACGTCGCCGCCTCGTTCTCACCATGCTTTGGAGCAAACGGTGGACCTCGTCAGTAACAAGGGTCGAACGGTCACGTATACTTGTATTAGTCAGTTTTACCTCCTACACAATTATTGGTTGCTAGGAGGCTGTTGGGAGGACATCAGATTGAGCCCTAGCATGCAGCGGAGCGAACGGACAAAGGGCCCGTGGCTCAGTGAGAGAGCGTCCAACTTAAAAACACTTGTTGACCAAAGAACCCGGGTTCGATTCCCGAGTTCCTCAAATTTGAGATTGACTATGATTGAGTGACGACGACAAATAGATACTCGTTCCTGGGTAATTTATATATCTGCCCAACCTTAACACTCTTCTTCTTGGATCGTTGCTGAGCTAGCTGCTGTTTAGTTTGATTCCCATACTCATGCAGCTCACAACGGGAAGTAATCTGTGAGTTCTCGAATGTTCCAACATCTTGCGTCGGTACACCGAACAGTGAACTTTGAGCCTCCAGTGATTTTAAGTGCCTTCCCTGGCGGATGCATTTTAAAAGTGTTTCAAGTAACATTATTGCGAGGGCATAGAGTGAGCAAATGCACCTCGACTAACTGTATGTGTTGCTGCAGGTCTGGACTGGTTCACAGCTGCTCGACGTAACAAAAGTGGATTGCATCAGCGGCGCACGTAGCAGTCGAGATCAAGTTGCGGTAGAAGTCACCGCGTGCGTCCGTCAGAATGAGGTCCACACAACTGTATGCCGCCTGCGGCGAATTTTTTTTGTCAACTCAGTTCTCGACTACAGACCACTTACCTCCAACTTCTGATTGATGAACTGCCCACCGGACCTTCTATGGATATTAGCTCAAATGTCATTGGCTCTTTTACTTTTCGTTTGCAAATTCGTCTATATTCGGCTCGAGAACGGTACGCCAATCAATCCCGTCACATTTGGATCGGACTACGGTCATTTCGTTCTGCCGCGAATCACTGGTCTAGCACCCCCACGGGCTCCTGCATAGTTAAGGACCACCGCCAATCGAACGGACAATCCCGATTACCTCCTGTATTTGGGCAGTTTTGGCGGAAGTCCCCCCCCCCTTAACTGTCTGCATAGCAGGGGCACGCGGCTTGACGCCTGAGCTGGACTTTAGTCCGGAGTTTCCACTGCCCGAGGCTGGACTATAGCCGGCCGACGATGTAAAATAAGCATGAAGCGACAGTTTCAACCTTCCATGCCCGTGTTGGCAAACTTTCTCGTGTAGTTTGACTACGCGAATTAAATACCGTCAAGTGTTGACGTCATCATTCCTCCAATCTTTTCTCACGCACTCAAGGTCGCGTACAAATCCGTGCTCTGTGCTTCAGGTTGTTTGGTCTTCCTAAAAGATATTTGTTACATCTATTGGAGGGCCTTTGACCTTCCTCATGGCTATCCGTCTGAATCATCATCATCATCATCATCATCATCATCATCATCATCATCATCATCATCATCATCATCATCATCATCATCATCATCATCATCATCATCATCATCATCATCATCATCATCATCATCATCATCATCATCATCATCATCATCATCATCGACGTACTAGGAAGCTGATCATCAGCATTTTTGAAACCAGTTCTCAATTAAAAAGACTACCTCCAAGACACCGAATACATGGAGTCCAAATGGCGGGACGCGAGATTTGACATTTTATGGTTTGACATCACTAATAGTATTTTAGTGGAACTTGTGGAAGCAGTAAACAAGTGTGCAGTTGGAATGCAACCTTGCCCCAGAAATGAAAGGAGAGGCGGTCGCCTTTTCCTTAGGGAACCATTAAACCAGTCAGCATTCAGGAAATCACATGAAAGGGACCGAGAGAGTAGTTACGAGGAATCAGTCCTTCCACAGTTTCGCCGACAAGAAGTGAGAAGGGAGGGACTTGGAAGGGCCAAGTTATGACTTGTGTACAGTAGGTGTGTTAACTCCGGAAATGTTAACCGGAATTCTGAAATACGTTTCTGTTTCTAAAAGATTACTTTAAAATACATTATCATGGAGCATAATCCCATAATACTTCAGTCGCCTTCGCGTGCTGGCTTTCGAAGGAATATCTTTCCAGCCTCCTGCAAAAACCACACTCTGTAAAAAGTGACTACTTGTGTAGCATAAATTTTTCTCGTTGATTTTCGATGCCCCAAATATTCATTTATATTTCACGGAAACATGCATAAAAACATTCACGCTCTCGCTCCTTCGGTAGAAAATACGCTTATTCCTTTATTATACTCGAAGGAAAGGGTATAATTCGGTTTAAAAAAAACTTTTTCAATTCTCGAATAGTTTGAACCCCACCTGTCGTCACACATGTATTCAAGGTTTAAAATCTAAATCCATATATTTTTTACGTACGGAAAACCATAAATTTCTCTACGGTATTATACGAAGAACATATGGGGTTCGTAAAATTTAGCAGTGGATTTGGGCCATATTGTAACCTTTACAAACAACACTAGTAAATTCAGAAACACAATGTTTTATGAACAGACATTGCACAGTATTAAAACTTTTTAAAACCTAATTATACATTTCCTTCGAGTATAAAATTGGAGAAAGACCAGATTTCCCACCGAATGCGCAAAAGAATGAATATTTTATGTACGTTTCCCATGAAATATAACTGGATTTTTAAGGACATCGAAAACAACGAGAAAATTTCATGCTACGCAATTAGCCATTTTTCACGGAGTGTGGTTTTTGCTTGTAGCCGGAAAGAAGTTCTTTCGAAAACTGGTATCTAGAGGTAACTGAATTATTGTGGGATTATGCTGCATGATGATTAATATTACAACGCTATCTAAGAAATCTCTTCGAGTCGAAAACGCATTTCAGAATTTCGGTTAACATTTCATGAGTTAGCACACCTAGCGTATTATCATCAGTCTTCCGTGGAATTCGGCGACTTTAAACGTAGTTGCAGGAAATGTGTTCTCCAAACACGTGGGTGGAATTCCACCGACCGCCTCCACTGAGGCATTAACAGATGGTCTGGTTGTAAAGTAAATTGCCATTTTGATAGAACTCGAGAGTGCGAACTCCTACCAATGTAATATAGATGGTCGTGGTCTAAATTTCAGGAAGTAAGTGTTAGATTTAGGGCAAGGAGGCGAAAATAGGTACTCCTCTGGAGGTTGGCACAAGGCAACCTCTATCAGGCGCGGAGGGGGGGGGGTTAGCTGTCCGCTCACATAATCGTCAGGGCCGTCGATTGCGCTTTCGGCCCGCCTAGCATGACTGAGAAGTACTGTGCACGCGCATGTGACTCAACCTTCGGCTTCCGACTCCGGTACTTATTCCTCATTTCACCGACTACCCGCAACCGGACGAAGTTTGGAAGCATGCATTCCGACCGACACACACACACCTGAAGAGACAGCCCGCTGGAACTGCATCCTTAGTCGCTTGTAAGCTCCTGTCCGATCTAATCTGCCTTCCCTAACCTGCGATTTCGGGATCCCGTGTCGTCGAATCATCGCACCTCAGACAGGGTTCCTAATCCGTGCCATACTACAATTTTCTTCGATCGGGATAAAACCAACAATAGTGCCTAGAATAAGCTCCCAAAAGGAAAAACGGGCAATTATCATCATCATCAGTTACGGGGTTTTGCCTTAAGGAGCGCATTAAATATCTCTCAAGATGTTCGGCGCTCCGTTATGCTAAAGAAGGATGCACGATCGCTGAAACAAAAGCTTTATTAGCCTGGTGTTTCGGATTCCTACTCGAACCCCTCATCAGAGATGATGGGTTCATCTGATGAGTGGTTTGAGCAGGAATCCGAAACGTTAGGCTATTAAAACTCTTGTCCCAGTGGTCGTGTCTCCTTCTTCAAGACTGCTTTCTGGGACTCGTGTCTTCGGTTCTTTTGGTTCCGTTACGTCCATGAGCGCAGCAATTGGACTGTCAACTCTTCTCGTCGAAGCACGCATCACTGGTAATGCCAGAAGCGTGCGGTGGGATTGCTACCGGAAGATCAAAGGAAGTAAGCCGACAGGGCCTTCCGAGGAATGAGACATTACTTAACTACAATGTGGCATATGGTCGAGAGGGGTGTTCACCGATCCAACCTAACTTCCGTACTGCTCCGTGGAGCTCCGAGTCGACTCTAACTAGACAGCCATCCAACAACTGACGGCTCAGAAGTCGCAAAACTTTGATGACAAAATACAGTGACACTGGAATGAGCAGTTCAGACTTATTTTCCATATTCTGTCACGGCCGAACCGAGTCTAGATACTGATTCTTAGGCGCTAAGCGACCGCCCATTGGGGTTCTTGATCCGGAGCTTCAAGTCAAAGCAGGAGGTTCTCATAGTCCGTCCTGAGATCTGAGTAGATTGGCGTGAGCCAGGTGCTTCAGATGATCAGAGTGCTGAACTTTATTGCAAAAACACCGCGTGTGTCAGTATCTGGAATCTATGTATCACCTGTCGACCGCGTCAGCTATGCCAGGAATGGCTATTTCAGTAGGTAGTTGCCTTGTCGGTAACAGTACTCGATCGTGTCAGGCCCCTCTCAACGCCTTTTCAGATGTCACTATACCGAAACCCAGTTCTCTAGAAATTCAGTAGTTCGATTTTCCAACTCATCCGAAGTGGTTTTCTCATCTCTGTTTAATTAAGATCGCTGTCGCCCGATCGTCTGGTGATCAGGATACACGACGGATTACTGACACAAACTGAACACTTTGACCGCGTGGGACGGGGGAGTGGATGAACTGACGGCTGACGACGAGGATGCAAGAGCGAAAACCAACTGTGCGGCGGTTGGATCAGTAATGCCAACTCCGGCAACACATTACCTAGTCCGATCCAGGACTTATTTGAGGGGCAGAACTATCAAAAAATTACTCAACTTCATCGCCGCAGCAGACCGGCTGAAGCAGACACATCTTTAAACCACATGGAAGACAACTGAGGGAAGTCAATCACGGCCGCGGACAGCAGAAATAGGCTGCCGCCAAATGGTAGTCAAACAAGAGTCCACTGCCCAACACAGCAGGTTAGCTATCGCGAACAAAGATGTCCACAGTGTGCACCACGGACGGTGGCATGTGAGTGAATTGGAGAATGGCGATTGCAGACTTGCAAAGCATCTATTGTATCCTTTCTCCCCTCATCTACCTGCCTCCGATGAGAAGGCGGAATCAATACGACCGGAGGCGGTCTGAGGCGCAGTGACTGAGAAAGATAAGCAGCTCACTTACACGCGCGACGCGAGATCTTGCCTCCGCAGAGTGTATCGGGATCTCATGAAGGGCGGTGGCACGAACCCCACCCAGGTGAAGAATATGCGTCGAAGTGCCGTGATGATGGCCCACCTCGTGTAATAAACCCCACTCTTCACTCGTCCGAGCCTGTCAGCAATCTGATGTTGGGATTGGGCGCAGTGGCTGGCGCGACGTGAAGTCTGCGTCTAAACGTGCGGCAGTAGTTACGGGCTGGCGCGGACCCCGTGAGGTCCAATTGGCGCGAGTCGAGACCCCCTCTATCTCCCTTTCGGTTCACCGCTCAAATCCCCTTCAGTATGCAATACGCGGCCGCCACCTGTGACTAACCCTGGATGGTTGAAGCGATACATACCATGATGTTAGTGAAACAGGGGTTATACGAGGGACCTCTCAGTCTCTATTGGGGGATATCATAAGTAGGCGTGACAGTTCCGACCGTCGATTCCGACTATGTCCACCGTGTGCTACACAGCAAGGTGCAGCAGGCACGATGACTTGCGCGGGAATTAGTTTGTGGCGAGAGTAGACTTGCGCGACACTTACCGCACTCTCTCTCTCCCCCCTACTCCCCACCTGCACCTGACGTCAAGACAGAGTTAAGAAGACCTGGCGCCGAGGAGGGCGCGAGCGAGAACTAAACATACATTCCTCACGGCGAAAATCGGCTACCTTTCCGATGTTAGAGCTTGTCTGAGGGAACCCTCGAGTCCAGAATCTCATATGACGTGAGAGAGGACTAACCGAAGTCCGGAGTCCCAGCCAATCATTAACTTCCTCCCTCTGTGTCCAGGAAATGAATGCGGGAAAGGTGGGAGAATTGGGTTCGGATTCTGGTTTGGAGTAAACACGACGCCGGTAGATTTCTTAGAAGATCGATACAGCACAATCAATGAGGATCATGCCTGGACTTTTGGACATCTTACCGGTAACAATCGGGAGATGGCACCCAAAAAATCCGCCTAACCAAAGCAGCCTGTCTTAAGGGACAGGCGGTAATAGGGGTTTTATGGGTGGTGGTTGGTCAGGATGTACAATACTAGCCGACGGAAAGGCTTATTTGAACAAGTGAATTATCGAAGTTGGCCCACTCTCCGTTCCGTTATCACAAAATGGGTCGCCAAAGGCCGTATAGTGGTAACGGACGAATGGAAGGCGTATAATCGTCTTCCCTCAGAAGATTATCTACATTTCTCTGTTAACCACTTAAAGACCTTCAAGGACCCTACCACCGGACGGCACACCAATGCCATTGAGGCATACTGGAGTAGACTGAAAAGGAAACTCCACGAGAGAGGCCCTTTATGTGGTCGAGCTATGTGGGCTCACATAGACGAAGTACAGTATCGTCTTTGGTTTGGCCTCAATGCCATGTCTTTGACAGATGCCTGGGAACTGCTCCTGCCCCATGTTGTGCAGACTTATCCTATTTGAAAGTGACTTTGTTTTGTAATAAACTGTCATAATGCGAATGTATGCCGTATATTCAGGTTTACGTGTGTAACGATGGGGAAGAATGGGTAACGGCGACCATCGTCCATGTAACCTCTTGCGATGTTCGTTCGGCCAGCCCAAGTAGTGCGTGAAAGTAGGCCCGCAACCGCTGATAAAGCCTGAAGGCGTTTGAGGCCACTGTTAAAGATATTATTTCTAGGTAGCGGATTTTTTGGGTGCCATCTCCCGATTGTTACCTTCTTATCTGCCGGCGCAAAGGAGCGAATGTTTCAGATTAGTACGGCAAATCTCCATTACTTGCTTGCCCCCATTGATGCTTTCTGCATGCAATCTAATCCTCTAATTTTTCGATTATCGGGACCCCCCTTTTAAGCAAACTAGGGGGAGAGGGTTAACTTACATGATTAGCAAACGCGTGCTGCGATACGTGGTAGAAAAGATTGAAACATCCCCAATTAAATCCGAAAGAGAACTTGCTGTTCCCCGATTATCACAAACTCGAAAGTTTTGGAATCCTGATTTAGTTTGACTGGTCTTTTTTCAGGCTATATCGTTTGGTCATAGCGATATATTCTCAAACTGCTGTTGAAGGATTACCTACGTCGGTTAGATTTGATGAATTGTCAGAAGACGTTCCAATTTTCGCCTTTTTTCCCAAAAATCATCCGTAAAAGTGCTAACGAGAAGGGAGCGTTATGAACCTGAAAGGCTTAGTTGTCAATTCCTGAGTCCTGCTATTCCGGGGATAACATCTTTCAGTCGCCATTTGGCGGCTTCGGTCGCAATTCAAAGGACACCCTCGAGATTACTTTGTCAGCGGGTGTTTTGGTATGTGTTTAGAAAAGAGATACCACCCATATCTGCTCTGTGAATATGCAAGCGCAGCTGGCCTCACAGAACATTGTTTGTCAGCTAGCTGAACTAGTTTATGGGGTTTACGGCAGGTAGTTTGCACGTACACTGTAAATTCCAGTCAGCTGTTGTCACAGCACATTTAAACCGCGAAATTCGGTTGTGCCACGCCTGCTTTTCGAAATCCGTTTTCTAGAGAGAGAGATAGAGGACATGATAGTGCATTTCTGGCCTGTGGGCGAGGTTTCAAGAAACTTGAAGTAAATTTTTCCTCAACTTACCTACATCACAAGTTGCAGTACGTATTTCCTCTCAAAGTATGTGGCTTGTCCTTTCAGACTCTGGTAATCGTCAGGAAGAGTAACTGCAGATACAGAAGAACTGTTAAGTATTTTCTTGGGTATTTACAGGCTAATCACGAAGCCTTAGGTCTTACAAAGGAAGTGAACGTTTAAGGGGTTTAAAATGATTGGTCGATCGAGGAGACCTTATCTAAAGAAAGGACGCGAAAACTTCTAGATCACTACAGCTGGATATAACTATAATGCGAAACATCAAGATGCCATGAGTAAAGCTTTTTTGGCAGAATGCGGTTATATGGCCGCGTCTGATAGAAAGTACTTTTGGGGGCTAAGGTTAGGGATTAGGGTTAAGAGTTAGAGTTAGAGGTTAGGGTCAGCGGTTAGAGCAACTATTTCTTAACCACTCAAAGTATAACCGCGCATTCCGAATAGCTTTTCTTTTGCGTACACTTACTTAAACCTCGTCGCTTTTGTGTTTCCTGACCCCACCTGTAAAAAGCCCTACTACAGACGGCTGGAGTTTGCGGCTGCATAACCATATCTGACCTTTCCCCGCCTGAAAACTGAATTATACATGCTTTTGAGCATAAAATTGAAAGTAGACGTAAGTTCCTACCAAATGAGTAGAAAAATGAACACTTTAATGCATTTTTTCCATGAAATATAATTGAAATTTTAAAGACATCGAAAATAAATGAGAGAAATTCATGCTCCGTATGTAATCATTTTTCTCAGACTGGGGTTTTGCATGCGGCCGGAAAGAAGTTCGTTTGGAAGCCGGCATTCCGGGTAGCTGACTTATTTTTGAATCATGCTGCACGATGACTAATTGTACAACTGTACTAAAGTAATATTTTCGAAACGAAAACGCGTTTCAGAATTTCGGTTAACATTGCATGAGTTAGCACACCTACTGTAAGCAGACATTTTTTTATATCAAGTACGTTTGCTGGAGACGGCGAAAGCAGGTGTATTCAAAAGCCGGCATGCTGGAGCGATTGGAACACCTGGGGGTTATGCGGCGCAATAATCAATATTACAGACCCAAGTGAGTAATCCTTCATAATCTAAAATGCATTTAAGAATATCAGTTGACATTTCATTAGATCGGTCACTGACTATGCTGTGCAGGATCGTATCAGGGGAACTACATGAATTAAAAGTGATATATAAAATAAGTATAACTTTTGCGGCTTGCTGTGCAGTTTCAGCCTTATCGTCCGTTGCTTTTACTACCAGTACACTACTAGAGGTGGTTATACTCCAAAGCGCTGGGAAGGAGGTGAGAGATATAAATTCATTTCCGACAAAGAACGGGAAAAAGGAATGGACAGGAATTGTAATTACAGGTCGTTTTAGAAAGCAATTCAGCAAGCGCGGGCCATTAGCTAAACGGATAAATGTTGGTCAGATGTGGTTATGTAGTCGCACCTGAGGTAAATAAACCTCAGACACTCGTAATAGGGGACCGGCGGTAGTGAGGGTTTATAAAAGTAGGACTGGAGAGTGTACAGATGGCGAGGTCAAGAAATTGTATGCAAAAGAAAAGCTATTGGGAATGTGCGGTTGTACTTTGAGTGGTTGGGAAACAGTTGCCCCAATCCCTAACCCTAACCCTTCAGTCCTAACCCTAGCCCACAACTGCAGCCCTAAACCCTAACCCTGAAACATCCAACGCGAAAGTTAGAAGGAGATGACAGACCGAAGTCAAGAAATACCGTCGGCATTGGGCCGAAAAAGGCAGACATAGCAACATGGAGACACGGCCGCCAACAGAGCACACACCGCAACGTACAGCAACACCATGCTAACGTAATCACACCATAGCAAAATAACTGAATAGGTCAACAGCTTTTTGTCCATCGGGTGCGGCTACATAACCCCATCTTGACGAAAAGTCAGAAAAGGGGACTTATCAATCGCTGGAACAAGAGACTTATTCACTTCACGGTTTGGATCCACTGCCCAGCCCAGGATTGCAAGTACATCGACGCACGAAGTTATCGGACGTGCAGGGTGTGTGGGGGCGCAGTTGTCAAGCCAACACCCACTTGCCAAAAGTCACAGCCCCCGCAGGTAGCATAGTTGTGCGATTCTGGACCGATGGCCCCGATGTGAACCATTAATCACGGCTGTTGGTGATGGGCGTGATACTAGCCCGATTACTTGACCTAACAGTACTGACACCGGTGATCCGAGTGACAAAACGCACAGTAAAGCGAATGCAACTGCGAACGGAAACAAACGCCCGTTTTTGGAATTTGTGCAGGTAGAAAGCTCAGGAGTTTCTCTTACCGCAATGCGGACTGGAAAATGTATCACCGGATTTGAAGGTAGGACACGACAATAAAAATCCCATCTACCCCCCCGTAATAAGGGTGGTCCTACGTTAAATTCCAGGGCCAGTAAAATTGGGGTAAGGATTAAGGTTTGAGTGGTAGGGGGCGCTCGCCGATCGTTCATACGGAACTCACTCGTTCCGTTGTGCCTTATGGACTCTCTCTCGAGCCCAACCAGCAGCCGCACAGCGGCGCATGATACATAGGCAGAATGCTATTACCGACAAAGACAAGGGAGACTGGAATGGCCATTTCTGGCTTATTAGCCGTCGTCAGCCAGCCATACCCAAGCCCGAAGTGTGGAACACCCGAGCCTCGAGTTTGAGTTATGTCTGGGGTCAGAGTATAAAACTAATAGTCTTTAATGGTATACGGTTGCTCAAGGCCACCCTATTACTGGGAATTCCTATTCCCGCGTCTTACGGAGTTGAGAGGTTAGAAGTAACTCATAAGAAGAGAAGATGCTTATTGCACTGGACAGAAACATCAGGCGTATGGACTGTGCATATGCTTCCTCAGCACGCAAACGTCTCAGCTAACTCTACCAGATGTTACCTTGCTAGTTCCATAGGATTACGTTTCAATTACAAGTTCATAAAAGTAAATACCCACTTAAGCAGGCACTTGAAAATGCTAAGGAAAAAAATAAGCTCCTTCCTAAGACGCCATGCCAGTTTGATCGTTGCGAGCGGCGATATCCATCGTGTACTCCGCAGCCTGGTGGATGTAACGTACGCGTGAATTGGTTTTTGGTGTTAGTTGACTTGCACTGCATCTACCTCTCTCTCTCTCTCTTCCTTCACCCACCTGAGCCTACTGTTAAGATCGGAGGCAGGATCGGGAGCAGTGACTGGCCGGGCTAAAAAGCCCGTTTGCGCGCGGTGCACACGCCTGGGCCCTGGCGTAAAGGTTATACAGATGGTTCATAACACAGGCAACAGTTTCTACCAACCTTGCCAAATGTCATATTGACGCAGAGCTCCAACAGCTGCAGAACACACTCCGCGAGAATGGATATCCAGATAGATTTATCCTCCGAACTATTGGGGAACGCATTGCAAAGCCCACTGTTGCGACTGCAGAAAAGAAAGATTTATTCATAAGACTGCCTTTCGCAGAGGACGCAGCGAGCGAACTAGTCAGACGGCGCTTAACTACAGCTGTCATGAGAGCATTCCCCGCGGCGAATTTACGCGTATGTTTCACAAACTCTCCCCTCCTACGTTTGGGAGGTAAAGACAGACTACCGTTGGAGGCCACATTAATGCGCATCTAATCATTCACTTGCTCCTGTGGAGCGGGATACATCGGCCGTACAACGAGACGCCTGGTAAAGAGGGTGCGTGAACATACGCCTGCCTGGCTAGACAGAGGTGAGAACCGATCGGTTTCGAGCTCTATTCTCGCACATTTAATCGATATGGATCACCGAGTCAATGCCAAGGAATCATTTCAGGTTGTCTATCGGACACCAACAAGCTTCTCTAAAGGCCTACGACAACGGATACTAGCAGCGGCCGAGGCAGTGGCTATACGTCTGGCGAATCCGGTGTTATGCTGCCAGAAAATCCTGACACAAGCGCTCTCCCTGCCGTGGCCAACGCCAACCTCACGTGATGACGACATGCCGCCTCAAATCCATGATTACATTGATGGCTACTCCCTGTACTCAATCCAAGAACATCACTCAAAGACTCGCTTACCTCCCTCCCCCAGCTCTAAGGACCAAAACCCGCCGACCTCGTCCTGCGGGCGGCGTGGGAATATGAGTGTTAATAACTTAATTGCCTTTGCGACGCCTATAAACACTGTTAACTTTGTACATTTTCACTCCTTCATGTAATTGTATTGGCCTGACGAAGAATTACCGAAAACGCGTGTTAGCCAATCTGACTTTTCAAATGTCATCTTGTCAGCTCCATAAAAGTAATTTCCCCTGACAAATTCTTACGTAAATACCCGCTTTGGGCAGCACTGAAAACATTTGAATAGGAACATTGTTTCATTGCCAAGACTTACATAGTATTCGAACACGTGGGTCATGCAACTGCTAGTTGCGCAACCGTATACAGATTGTTGCTCGCACAGATCTCTTATGCAGACGTAAACAAGACAACGGTATAGACAAGGAGCCCAATTAACTGTCAGTAGACTGTGGATCGTGTCATACCTGATTTATGGTATGCCAACGATACCTGACCAAGTGGGTCATCAAAAAGGAAATCAAAAAACATAAGTAATATTCAAATTCCCAGGGTTGTTGTGTATGATCTTGGTCAATGCATCCAGTAAATATAAAAATACGTCAGTGGTTAATTTGGAGTCGCTGCGGATTCAGTCCCTGTACTCACTGGACAAGTTGGCTCTTAATAGGTTACTTTTTCTCAAAATTACAGGTCATCGAATCCGACAGCCAAAAGAAATGGACAATGTCAGGAACGTCTTCGGACAAAAACCAAGAAGGCAACGCTATAGAGGAGGAGCTCACTTAAGTGTCAGTAGACTGTGGATCGTGTCATACGGGGTCTTATCTTGGCATACATTTGCAGGCTGTTGCCGAAATTACACTGCCAAAAACAATTACTTCCCACGAGCTCACACCTTAACTAAAATTCCGTTATTTTGTAAAATTTACTTTTTGTCCATTGTTTAATTACTACTTTAATTTCCGTTGCCGTAGAATAACGTAGGATAAGAATTTTGGCAAAAATTTAGGCGATTTTTTGTGTTTTCCCTCATTCTGTCGGCTTACCATCTAACGTGCTAGCCCACCCATAAAGCTCCCTTTACCATAAATTACGTATGGCACGAACCACAGTCTACTGACAGTCAAGTGGGGTCCTTCTCTACACTGTTGCCGCAAACAATCTTGTGAAATCAGACGAAGACCAGGTAGTTGAAGTGACCAAGACAAAGCCTAATCGCTGACCCAGAGAATTCAACGGACCTGCTGTGGGTAAATTGATGGACATTTCCCTCTGCGCCAAACGGTTGGGCGCAGGAATATAGGTCGCCCTGTTCTAAAGTTCAGGGTGTTAGAGTAAGAAGGGTTAGGAGGCCTTGAAATGGACTGAAGGTTGGGGGGAGGATTGGAAATATGATGGGGGTTGAATGAGTTAGGGCTGAAATTAGGAAACGGGAGGCCGGTTGCAAAACGCAGGGCTTCATTTTCCTGTGTTTGACGCGCCATACCAGGGTTCTGCTCGAATTTCAACATCTTATACAGAAAAATCTGACTATAAATAGGGATGAACGCCTGACAGCCAAAAATTATATGTACCGTAAAGCCTACGCGGCGGATGGCCCTATCCGTTGCCGCCTCTGATTCTGGGTGTCCAGGGTCTATCCCAAACGTCAGATAAATGAAAGTTTCTCCCTCCCCCCGGAGGTCGTTTAAACTTAAACTCATCATAGTAATCCGCGGTGTAAAATAGGTAACCGATAGTCTGTCTGACCTGATCCAAGCCATCCCGAATTGGCCAAAAGTCTGCCCCTGAAACATCTTAAGACACATCGATTAAATGTTTATTTTGTCGGAAGTTCCATAGACTGAGGAAATAAAGTGGAGACTGACGAATTTTTGAATTTTGACAATTAAATAGTCTCGGCGATAAGACTAAAGTCATCAGCATCCACCATATTATACTATTTCAACTGCAGTCAATGTTGAAAGAATAAGACCAAGACTGGCAGTTCATCTGTCGCAAGCCGCGTGAAGCATCACTTGACTCGCACTCTAGATTTTCGCAGTGAGGCAAACTTGTGCAGTATCTACCTCAGATCTTTTTCTCGTGATTTGGTTAAGACCAATGATCTTGGTCTACGCGAACAACACGCGTGCCAACCTCTAAATATAGATGCCAAGGTTTCAAAAATGGGAGTCCAAATAACTCTTTTTAGACAATTGGCATAAAAGTCCCATTAAGAAGAGAACATTGAGATATTAATCCGTAGATGCGGGAAGGATAGAAGTGCTACGCCATTTTGGCAAATTCCCGTCTGATGGCTTCTACTTCGTCCAAACAACACTAACCTGTGTCCCGTTTCTCATAGCGTGGAAATACGTACATAATGCAAGCCAGTTGATTTTACCTCTATCTCTATCCCATCTCCCAGTCGACTGGGAGTAATGTGGTGAGACATAGGGATTAATGTGTCGTAAAGCCGGCATCAAATACTCAATGGAGAAAAGAGGATACCCACTCTTGCCAAATCTCCCAAAGTACGACATACAGTACTTTACCAAATGCAGATACTGGGGCAGCTGGGTACCCAAGGTGCGAATGAATCCTAGCATTTTTGGAAAAACAGAACTGTCTTTAGGCAGAATGCTATTGCCGAAAAAGACAAGGGAGACTGGAATGGCCATTTCTGGCTTATTAGCCGTCGTCAGCCAGCCATACCCAAGCCCGAAGTGTGGAACACCCGAGCCTCGAACTCGCGACCTGTTGGTTTAGAAGTCAACGCCTCTACTCACCGGGCCACAAGCCCGTTGCCTTGTCGGTTTTCGATCTGTCTTTTCGAACTGTCTTTTTTTGGACGGCATGGTCACCACCGCCGCAGACCTCTGGGCTCACCACGGTCCTGAGGCGATTTGTCCAACAAACGCGGGATTATCTAAAGACAGCAAGAACTAAAGACCCAATAAGTTTAAAAGTCCCCCTCTCCACGGTAGAGATCAACGGACAAAGTCCAACACATTAATGACTCTCTCTGGTAATTGTCGATCCTCATTCTGCAACCCGATGCGGTTATTCCTAGATTTTTTTGGCCAAAACATCTATGATGTGGTTATATTTTCGTGATTTCTCAAGGGATATAAGTGAAATTGGTGTGAACTTATTTTCGCATGGATCCTACCTCCAGTGGCTACCTGCAATGGCACAAAAAGGTCTTTAATTATTGTCTAATGATAGGATGTCAACGAGGGTATGAGGTTGAAGTTAATTCCAGCTCCGCTCTGGGCACCATAGCCAGTTTTGCCTGGAGTGGCGCATCGTGCCAAAAAAATTGGCACCTAAACGACCAAGCAACCCATTTCTGGCATTGTCTTAGTCATAAATAAGGGCATTTCGTGAGGATATCTGTGTGATGTTTGCAGAAAGTACACAACAATGTACCTGGGCACGGTCATTATTTATTCGCAAATTATGCAAATTTAATGAGAGTCTTTGTCTGTAATTTTAAGCGCGATGTACCTCGCTAGAGACAAACAAAATATCCGTGCCTCATCAACACGAACAACCCTTTGATTTTCTGGTTTTGGGATGTCGGACGGAATTCCAAATCCCTTTTCATAGTGGGTTGTCACGGAGAACTATTGAGGCATCTCTAACGCTCTTAGAAAGATGAGTGAATAGGTGTTTTGGTTTTCCATACGGAACAAATGGATCAGGTGCGAAATTCGTGTTCCGGGTCTGTGTGCTTAAGTGATAGAAGGCGACTGGTTGAACACCATAGCAGTTTGTTTATTGTTTTGAGCTTTCGAAAGCGTGCATGAGTCCATCGCCTGGGACAGCAACGACAATAAGACGGCCGCCAATTAAAGGGGTCGCTAGACAATCGTCGATACATGAATCAAGACTGGAGGTGACTGCACAGGACTCAGTGCGCCGATGTCAGATCGATAAATCGATTGACTGGGTACTAATCCGAGTCCCAGATTCATTCCCGCGCAGAACGGTCGGGAAGATTAAAGATTGGTTACATCCTGAAGAGTAGTCTGGGGTAGTATATCGCACTCACGCCCAAACTTACTTTGTAACCCCACAGGTCAGGCTAAACGCATGCTCAGATCGCGCATACATAAGCTGGATGTGCTATGAAGCTGCCCAAGCCTACAAAATGAGTAATGCGTTTAGCTTTGCAGCCACCAAGGTAATCGCACACGTCAGAGATGAAACAGTCCGGGAACTGCTCGAAGCCTGAGCCTCGGATGAGAACTCGGTCAATCAATTTATCAATCCGACGCCAGCGAACGGAGCCCTGCGCAGTCACCTCTAGTCTTGCGGTCATGCTATGAAGATTGACTAGCACGCCCTTTTGTCTTTTGTTTTGTTGTTGCCACTATCTCTGACGATATACTCCTGCGCGGGTTCTAGAGCTCAACTTATCTGCTTAACTTATGCAAAATGAGTAGCAAGCTTTTGGTTCGGTCTTAAGGGGTGGTTGCTCCCTCCCGCTGGATCAAGACCAGACTTTAAAAGTTGGAATGTATTGTGGGATCTTTAATAAAATTAGATTTTTCCCCTATTCTTGATAGAAAAGGCTTATCCGAGTTTTTGTGTATTGTTCTTCTGAGCCAGATATGGAGCTTTTCGGGTGCAATCTGTCTGTCAGCATGTGCCGGAATACTATAATTGTGACCCTGTATACAAGCCTCAATTAAATGTACCGGACAGATATGTCAGTACTGAGCACCAATTACACTCATTCACATGGTGAGTCTTTGTGTTCTAACAATATTTTAAACTCATACTTCATTCCGAAGCCTGATTTAACACTGCCGCAAGATATCCCACGCGCAGCCAGATCTGGTATCAAAATCATATTTGGCTTCACGGGACCATGTCTTGATGCGTATAATACAGTGGTTTGTTACTACATGTGAATTTTTGGTTTAATCAACGACGGCGAACCTCTTGCCATGTTACAGTAGAAGCTCTATTTGCACAAGAGCCAAGACAATATTCTCATGAAATATCTGCATTTTCAAATTTGCAGACATTTTTTAAAAAGGCGTCTTGTTCTCTTGTATGTCCTTAAAGCAAAAAAACCAGTAGCTATTTTGTTGCGGGGAGCGAGCCAGACATAGATGAATAATTGTTGCCCCCAGTAACGTCGCATATTTCACCAGATTGAATAAAGAATTCCGATTTAAGAAGTCAAGTTTGGCAAACGTGCGTTTTCGATTATTCATTCTTAGGCCTGTGCAGTAATATAAATTGTGCAAAGTGATGAATGCGAAGGAGACAGGATCGCTGGGACAAGGGCTTCATTCGCCTGACGTTTCGGATTCCTGCTCGAACCCAGCATCAGGGACAATAGTATCCATATCTGCTACTGTCCCTGATGCTGGGTTCGAGCAGAAATCCGAAACGTCAGGCGAATAAAGCCCTTGTCCCAGCGAAAACGACCGTGTCTCCTTCTTCACGACTGCTGTCTGGGACTCGTCTCTTCGCTCCTATTGGCAATATGGCTAGGCGTGATGCGCTCCGATCGGCCCAGCGATGGGAAACCTTCGCCCTTCGAAAGGCCTCCACATATGCACAGATCCGGTTTTTCTACAGGTATCCCGACAAAGTGATGAAAGATAAGAGAGCCGATAAGGAGTAGTTAAGGGATAGAGGGTTGTGGGCGTCCAGACATGCCAGTGCCGTCAGGGACTTGGGGAAGATGGTGAGGAGGAGAAGCGAAAGGTGTCGGAGAATGAACTATGCTTAATTTTCGCAACTGTAGCGCGACGTGGAAGGATGCGGAAACGAACACGCTGGCCAATTCTTGGCCCATGGTAGTTTGAGGGCTTGTATGAGCGCCTTCTACGAGCACAAATCTGGGTTGGAAAATCGTATGGCCATTGCCTCTACCGGCGCAAGTATCCGCTGACGCAGGAACTTGGAGTGTCTCGTCGGCACTTCACAGATCACCCGGAATGCTTGGTTAACGTCTGCTCCGTGGCCGCTGTCAACTAAGTTGGACGAAGTTGCGTTAGATAAAGACTTTTATATGCTTTAATTTGATCACACAAGATGATGTTCTCGCATCCGGTTGGATAGGCGTCTGGTTATTCGACCACTATGACCTCCCCCACAAGAGCAAGTGAAGGCGTAGATGCACATCGAAGATGTCTGAAAAGACAGCCTATCCTTGCTTTCAGGACGAAGAATCGAAGTGCTTGTGGGAATTAGTCTTAACTTGGCGGTTGGTTAAGTGCGCGCGATAGCAGAGTTACAGCAAATTTGTAGAAGTCCGCTTCTCGGAGTCCTCCGAAATGCCAGTATAAGAAATAGTTTCTTCTTTTCGGTTGTTAACACGTCCGTTTTCGGGGACGTTCTTTCGCATATTTCAGGAAAAAAATTCTTCGAAGTGCCATTTTCTCACAGAGTGTTTTTCATGAACTTGAGTTCGGTCCCCAGCCGAAGCAGAGTGCTTCAAATACGAAACTGAAAAAGTTCACCGGCAGACTCCTCCCTTCCCCCCCCCCCTATCTCCCCTCCCCAAGTCCCTGACTGGACCGACATGCTTGAACGTCCTCAACCCTCTCCCCATAACTACCACTCACTGGCCGTTTTAAATTTGACTGTTTTTTTTCCTAATTTATATTACTGAACAGGCTTGACCGAAAATGTACGCTCTCCAATCTTTACACGGATATCATCGCAGCACTTAAATTCCGGTCTCTTTATGATGTCGGAAACATTCCGTCTGTCAGTTGGGTAATAAAATGAAGGAATATTTGCAAAGCCTCTCCCAGTTCCAACAAAAATCAGTTTTTGCGGTTGAAAACTGTTTATCGACAGCCAGTGAAACCCCAGTCCGGGGAGACACACTCGAGATTCGAAACCCTAATAAACGAGCAACCCTCTAACACTTTTCATAATCAATAAGGCGGCGGGTAGCCCACCCTTTACTTGTTACGTACGTTAAGTAGTCCTCTTGGCCAAGCAGAATATTGTTAACTTACAGGGGAAAATAAACCAAAAGTGTCCAACAGAGCGCCTCTTGTCCTTGTTGACAGTTCGTCCTGATTACGGTTTACTTGCGGCTATGCGACCGCGCGCGAGGTTTCGATAGTTAAGCCCAGGGCAAGACGAGTCGTCTTCATCCCGTCTCCTCAAATCAAACAACATCAATAAACTTTACTTCCACATGAAATTACATACAGCATAGGTCAGTTAGTCGGAACGGTGATTTATTCGAGGTAAACATCAAAAGACACATACAGACGGCATTTATGCCTCGAATGAAGTTTGCTGATTAGCAACAGGATTCTGCCTAATTAGGGCAAGTCGGAGGGCGCGGCGGGTATCTTGGAGAGGGCAGAAAACCAAGTGCCGATCTAAACTTCGCTTACGTCTGGTAGTCACCATGGTCAGTGGCGACTTGGGAGCACGCGATTCAGTCAGCAGTGAAGGTGCACAAAACACTGACGGGCCACGCGGACGTTGAGGCCGATTTAATTATGCAGCGCAAGCTTGGTGCGACGACGATATTGTTGGTGTTGTCCTGGTCGACGTTGTCGTCCTCAATGATGATGACGGCAGTTGCGTCGGGGGCTGTGGTGGTGGTGGTGGTGGTGGTGGTGGTGGTGGTGGTGGTGGGAGGCGGCATGAATCTTTACAACGCCCTAAGATCCTTTTTGACTTGATTCCGATGAATGTTTGTCCGTCCAGTCACCCTTTCACACCACTCGCTTGTAATCTACGAAAGTGCCAATGAAAATGCTAAAGTTGACTCTCAAAACTGCCCAACGTAATCAAGCGACCTGACACGACAGGTCAATATGTGTCCCGGTTCCTTTAAACAATTCAGATAACTTAATTTGTTTGAAATGTTTTGACACAATATATCCCCATTCATCAGAGCTCATTCGTGTCCCTTAATGCAGCGTCTGCAGAACCCGAGACTATAGTCTAAATGCCAGAAATCCCAGGTTCTCTCTACATGTGGTTTCAGTTTGTTTGAGTAATAGTCCGACAGCGATACTCCAGGCTCCCTTACCCCTGGCTGAATTGTTTGAGCAGATATTTTGAGCAGATAAAATGTCTGTTTGCCAAGCGGTACTAACGGTGATGCTAAGATGTTGACTTCTTGGAACGTCCTCGTGCTTCGTTGTATATTACATTCACCAATAATATATAGCTTAAAACTAATACGTGTGTATCCTTTAAAAACTATTGATTTGTTCGTAAGCTTTGACCTTTTCTGAAGCTTCCCAACATGCGCACGATAAAAACAATTAAAGTACGCTCCTGAATTGGGGCGCATCTAACCAACGAGCTGAGGCTTTCCTCTCCGATTCTGACGGGCCCCTTCATCGATTGGTCCCCAGATTCTCACCCCCCGACCATCTCACGCGCTCTCTTGCACTATGCCTCTCGAATTATCGATTGCACCTATTAACCTCTGATGGAACGCAAAGCATGTCAGAACTCCGAACATTTACGCTGATGTCTTACTTGCCACCTGTCGTCATCCACAGTAATCAAAGTTCACTGTACATGTGTGAGGATGTGCTGTTAAGATTGTGGACTCACGCATCGCCGTCAACTGCATCCAAATCAAATCTCTAGACAAATTTCCAATCTCGGTAGTAAACCATCACGCAGAACCAAAATCGACAACGAATTTGCGGTTCTCCCGGTTCTCCCAAGCTAGCCAGATCTTTGGCGGGCTCCAGGCGTCATTGTCTCCATCTCAGCATCTAACCCAAAATGTACCAGGCTGCCACCTTGACAACGCTGCTGCGTGGAACGAAGACCTGGGCAGTCTGTGTGCAAAGGGCGAGGAAACTCAATCACTTCCACCGTAGGTGACCCCAGAAAGTACTCAAGCTGAGATGCGAAGAAAGGATCCCGGACGCAGAAGTCCTCGAGCGAGTCGGTAATCACACTACTGATGCCATGACGCCGTCGACCGCCAGCAAATCCATTATCCCTGACGAACTGTCCGCAGCAAAGGCAACCACTACCGCCCATTCCACTTCCACGACTAATAAGAGTACCCCCGACGACCCATCAGCCACAATCCCCACCATCACCAACCCCACCACCCGCAATATGAACTTGATCGCAACCTGTCGTCATTGCGACCGCAGCTTCACTTAACGCATCAATCACAAGCAAAGCTGCCGCACCGAGATCGGCGAACCGGTGCCAGGAAACCTGACATGCATGTTCTGCACCGGTCTTCACTGTCTGCATCTTTCACACACATTCACTAACCATATGGGCCTATTAGGCCACATGCCTATCCACGACAGTGGAATTCACCGCAATAACGATACAGCAAGAACTCCCATCTCTAGCACTACCGAATACCCAACCGCCAGCACGGCCACCATTAGCAGCATCGCCACTGCAGCAAACTCAGTAGCTCTTAACCGATACTGCCCACACCGTTACCCCACATGCATATCTAGCGTCGGTCCGGCTGGTTACTTGCAAATCCATCCTCCTGAGACTGGATAACCATTGCCAGGGCTACTAGCATACTCTCACCGCCGTCAATTCAACCGTCCGCGCTGTACACGTACACGCAGTCACCGCAGGGATCTACGCGGTCAAATGTGTCCCCATGTGAATGTGTTGTATACCGTTGCAAAAGTGTTCCACCACCATATATCTCCTCACCAGTACATACACCACACACGAACCCGTCCTTTGTCATCCATCAGGTGAGAAGCGTGCTCATCAGATCCCTTCCCACATAACTTCAATGGGGATCTAACCAATGTGGGATTCAAGGGGACTTATTTTTGTGTGAAATCCTGGCATGTTTTGTGAGTGGCCAGGTCGTGTGTGTGGTCCGCTCAGTCGGGCCTTCTAGTTATGTCAACCACTGCGCCCAATCCCCGCATCAGTTAACTGACAGGCTTGGACAGGAGACTGATGCTTGGGCATATTCCTCACTGACGCGCACTTAAACTATCATGTTGCGCTAAAGGCCGTGACTTGGAAGGCAGCCAGATGAGGGATAACATGATTCCCCTCCCAAGCAGAGGGTCAGACTGTAGTATTTCCTTTGTAATATGGCATCTGGGGCACTCCCACTCATTTGGGACAAGAGCCATCCCCCACTTATTGTTGTGTAGAACCGGAGGCATTTGTGATGGCACGCCTAGGCGCGGGTTCACGCCGCGTCAGCTACCTGTAGCGGTCCCGCTTCCGTGCCTTTTTGACTCTGTCTTGACACTGGGTTGAGGTGGGTGCGGAAGGAGAGAGTGCGGTGGATACGGAACAAGTCCACTATCATTGGAAACTAATTTGCGCGCAGGTAAGCCCCGCCCCCACCCTCGCACTCACCATACTGTGGGGTTCACGATGAACATCGCTCACAACGATGGTCGGACTATTAGCTAAGAACCTTATCTGCAGAAATTTCGGTTGCACATGGAAATTGGTACCTTCAGCATGACAGGGTTTACTTATTCCCATGCCCAAACCTTAACATACTCCCAAACACCAGCCTTAATTCTAACTCTTACCCCACTGGAGTTAAGTGCAAAACCACATATAATACAAGAGGCCCCTATTCCAGTGTCAATAAAATAACGAGTTGAATAAAATGTATGCTGATATTGGCCTTCATTTACTAAGTTTACAACTAAAATAGCAGGGAGTATAGTAAAACTGTGAGTTTCAGGCAGCCGTGAGGATAAACTGGCGTCCACCGGATTGTAGGTGACTGAATTCGGGTCAGTCAATGCGGCCGTTCATTCTCAGGCATTAGTAACCATTCTCTTCACCGGGTATGGTTGACTGATAACGGTGAATAAGCCAGAACTGAGCATTCCAGTCCCCATTGTCTTTGTCGGTAATGTCATTCTGCCTATATCATGCGCCGCTGTGCGGCTGCTGGTTGGACTCGAGAGAGGGAGAGAGAGAGTGTACTAAGGCACAACGGGACGAATGAGTTCCGTAACACGATCGGTGAGCGCTTCCTCTACCATTGTCAACATACCCGATAGCAACCGGCAGGACAACGATACCGTGGCTCAGTGGTTGGGGACTTTGAACGTCTAACCGAGATGGAGTCGCGGAAATTACATACGTCGGGGTTGGTTATGGCTGTTTGATGACGGCTGGTAAGCCAAAATGGCCATTCCAGTCTCCCGAGTTCCTATCAGTGATGTTGTTAACAACCACCTTGTTTGGGAACTGGAATTCAGTGTGCACGACTCTCGTGACAGTGATTTCAGCCTCCCTTTCCTACAAGACCGTGTCGATACGCCCTGTGACGAAGCAGGACACAGCAGCTGACCAGTCATAAACCATCCGACGACGTATGCAGGACACTACTAACGGTCTCCTAGAGAAAGCACCAGGTTGCACAACTGCAGCCTGACTGTGTCCTCAAGTCGAGGTCGAATATCGTGCTGCAAGGATGTGTTGAGCCGTATCATGGAGTCAGGTGTGCGTGCCCTGGGTGGCAGCTTGTTCCTTGACCAAGTTCCGTAGTTACGAATTCAGCTCGGCTGTCCACCTGAAAAAATGGCTAGGTCACCAGCTTCTATTCACTGCTTGTCATTGCTTCCGTACTGCCCACTTTCTAAAAGACTGACTTATCACGTAGAATTAGGACCTTCGAGTTCGACGTGACACTAATAAACAGGTGTCGAAGGACGAAATTCGCGTTTGTTTGTTTCGTAAAGCACACCAAGTGTCGCCAGCGGAACGACGTAGCTGGATCTTTACCTCCTACAGAAAGCTCGTCTTGCCTGATAAAGGCCTCGGACATGCAGTCTGTGTCTGAAATATCAGTACTTGATGACAGCAGAAATGGTGACTTCTGTGACTCCGTTCTTGTCTTTGACACTCCTCTGAGAAGCAGCCCTCGTACCCGGCCACAGACTGGTGGCCGACCGTTGACCAAGCATTTTTAAGAAGATCCGAAAAGCCTGGATTTTAAGTGAGGCGTAATCAGTTTCTGAAACTGAATTGTGCTTCTTCTAGCGCATGAAATAAGGATGCATACATTGTCCTCTTTAGACCACCTTGCTTTAAGCTAATGTGTGCTGCGTCAGTGTAAACGAGCACAAAGCGATTCAATAAAATCCTCGCGGTTCTCCGCAATCGTCCCTTCCTTTCACCGAACACGGTGATTAAATGAATGCTCCCAAAGTCTTCAGAAGGCTAAAGAACCAACATTTGCCCATCAAAACCCTTTTGCGGGCGTGCTGTCAAAAGCGGACAGTTCGATTATTCCAGACGACGATGACCTCCGTTGCATGCTCTTTGTATTGGACGCATCACCGACGACTTAGGCGTGAAGTAGATTGTCCGGCTTGCATAGCACTTACGTCACTCTCTCATCCCCTTCAGTAGCATTGATATGATAGTAAAACAGTGTCGAATGACCGACGGTAGCATGGACGCAGCGACTGAAGAAGTTGAAAGGACCTTTCTGCGAATGCTTTTCAGGATCTGGTCATCGCAACATGTACCATGCTTTCGTCTGGGCCTATTTGGATTTCAGCTTTGTGACAGCGGCACAAAGGTCACATCAAAAAGGAGCAGTTGGAGTCTGACTCTCAGTCCTGAGAGAGACCGATTCAAAACTCCACGCGATCCGGATTTATTATAGTCTTGTGTGTGTGCTGTGGAGGATGG